GCGCGTTCGCCAGATTCGCCACGTGAGAGTGAATTGCTGCTGTTTACGATCATGGTTTTGACATTTCTTTTGTGAGAGCCGACGTAAATGTTGTTCCCAACGTCGCTGATTGATGTAACACTGTGCTCATCTTCGTGTAATTTCATATCAGTTTAACTTCCTCGGGTTTGGCGCATAGAAATCTTTTAAATTTTAGATATGTTATATTTTTCAACATAACAAAGCAATAGACGAAATAAAAAGTTGTTCGAATGAGTCTTAAGCTATCTTAATTCAACTTTAAAATTCAAATTTCGCGCTTTTAGCTGTATTGACCAATCAGAGCATTCAGATTTAATTTGATTAGAGAAATTAGCGCCTGAAAAATAACTGACGCTATTGCCGCGGGCTATTGTTTTTCTGCCTGCTTCTTAGCTGGACCATTACTTAATACAGTTTGGTTTTTTTCACGCGGCTACCTTCCTGCTCCTTGGCTCTCTTTAAGGTTTCGTCTGTTTTGTGAACATTTCTTACAGAAAGATTGTTCTCAAGGTCCAGTAGGTTTCTTAGCATTTCAACGTATTTCTGCTGCCCCGTAAATCTGTAAACGCAAGGGACTTCCATGCCATATCCACCGCCTCGGTTAACAGCTTTTCCTTCAGCTTTAACAGTTCCCTTGCTTTCAGGTTTTGTTAAGAAATGTCTAACAATCCCTGTGCCTTGCTTTGAGCTCGCTAGTGCCCGTGGCATGTGGCCAACTACTTCTTCATCTCTAATAACAGCGATTGCATTAAACATTGTAATTGTCATGTACATCTGTCAAGATGGCACTTACAATAGAATGCTCGTGAAATCTGACCCTACCCCGTTAATACGACCACCCCGTTAATACGACCAAATTTTCATGGCCCGTTGGTGGTCGTATTAACGGGGTTCCACTGTATTTGTTTTCCTTTGCGCTAACTTAAACGCCCATGTGCTCCATGCTGGCATGAACACTTTAGTGGCAAGAACTAGCTTACACGTGCTTTGATAACTATATTTGAGGGTCTCAATGGGGTGGTAGCTTTGACGGTTGACGGTTATTTAGTTAAAGAAATTTTGAAAGAATGGCACGAGAGAGGCCATGGACGTATGTTTGCGAGTGCTAAAGGAAAGCAACAAAAGTAGGTTCGACAGCTGCAGTGTCAGGAACAGTGTATTGATCATATCCCATATTACCTTTCGGGATTGCCGCCTGCACATTTTTTCCGACAACCTTTCTCGAAATAGCTGTTAAGTCTTCATTAATTCAAAACATAGTCCCCGCAAAGCACCCCCGCAAAATTTAGCATCCACGAGAAAAATTTAGTGCCACACGGTAACCACTATGCGTTTTATTTATATATTTTAGTTATATATGTGTCATTCGCTATTCAAATTTAACTGTAATGTAAAATTGCTAATCAGGGTAGTATGAACTTACCACTACAGTTGTCTCAAGTTGCTTTGCTCGTCGTATCTGGTAGTGTCTTTTTCTGCACTTTGTACATATAACTAACGAGGCCAAGGCAAAATAAATTACTAGATAAATAAATAACGTGTCCTGATTTTGTTTTCTCTCACAAAAAAATGCAGGGGTGGAAAAATAAGGAACAGTCACTCCTTTCTCACTCTTTACACAGTCGTGATGGAAATAAACTAGGGTTTCTACTCAAGATACCCAAAAAATAAGATCCTTTCTGTAGAATCACAGGCTTCCCAAGCTCAGTTATGATAATTTAGTATTTCGTGAACATGTTTGATTTCTTTCCAATAGTTTTATCTAATCGTATTTTCTATGTATTACAAAACAGTATTCTGTTCTGCTGCGAACTGCTACCTAAATATCCTGGAAATGTCCGTTGAAATTGTTCAAGTAAGGTATGCCGGTTGTCTTTTGCTCGGTTAGGAAAAACAATACAGTTTATTAAAAAGAGGTCACTGATAATGTTCTCCGGCAAGAAGTGTTCTATCAATGCATGTAATAATGTCTTCTCATACCTGCTCCAAGTGGAACTGAATGGTTTACCAAGAAATATATGCTTCTGGACATTTCCAGGTTGACGCCTCGAGCATTACTCTGCTTCGTGTGCTTTCCCAGATGATCGGGATGAAAACATGTCAATCGCTTTCTACCCGGCCATCCATAGGTCAAGAGATATCTGTGCCGTGGCCAGTCAATTTTGGCTAGGCGCGATAAAACCGCCACGGTTTAATAAAAAGGACTTCAGCTTCGCCAATTTGCGCATATCCACTTTGCGTTTTCCACTTACACCGAGTGCGGACAGAGAGGGTCCACAATAGGTTTGGCGGGATGCGGGATTTGGCTATTTTTCGTGGTGATACTCGGGATGCGAGCTGAAAACAGGAGCGGGATGCGGGAATTTTAATAACCAGCGGGAGCGGGATTTCCTATTTTTATGGGGATGGGATGCGAGAATCGCAAGGGAAAAATAGCGGGATACGGGAATTTAGTTTTGTCTTGACTAATAATTTATTCAAAGTTATGAATATATGAAAATCGTATAAGTGAACTGCGGAGCGAAGAATTAAATGAAGGATGATCATCGCAGTTATATACGCAACTTTTGCAGTTGCGAAAAGAAAGCCTGAAAAAAATCAGGCTTGTATGGATTCAAACCCTTGACCTCTGAGATATCGGTGTCAGCTAACAAGCCAACTGGGAGCAGGATTGTTGAATTGGTTCGTTATAAACCCGTGAAAGGATGATAATGAAGTTATGAATGTATGAATATATGAAAATCATATATGTGAACTGCGGAGTGAAGAATTAAATGAAGGTTGATCATCATTTAATTCTTCATTTAATTCTGTATCTTATATATATAGAAAAAACCGTTTACATAAAAACCCATAAAACGGCCATTAATCGGGCCGTGGACTACACTGGATGGAGAAGCAAACTTCCTGCTTGGAACGGTTGGAAACTAGCAGCAAAGCGGTCGAATAATTGTGAGACAGACAGATAACATCAATCTACCTAACTCCAAAAATACAGGACTTAAAATATCGAAGTAAACATGTCACGATGCGCACACGAAAAAATAAGCAAAACAGAAAATAAAGCTTAAGTTTGTGTTGTTGATAACCTTGACCATTAAAACTGACAATTGTTAGAAGGTAGGTCTCATATAACGTCTATTTCGATAATTAAGGGAAAAAATCTCGTAAAAAAATGGGATGGGATCGGGATTCGGGCGTAAAATAGGGCGGGATGGCGGGATTGAGAAGAAAAAAAGGCGGGAAAGCGGGATTTGAGAACCCCTATTGTGGACCCTCGACAGATGGTCAAATATATTATTCGCACACGACTTTACTGGAACGGTAGTAATATCCTCTTTTCCCGGTGCAGGTCCACAATGTCAATCTTCGGAAAAAAAGGAGCAACTCATTTTGAAAATGCTATCGTTTTTTAACATGAATGTTTTCCAAAGCGTGTGTGAAAATTTTGTAATTAGGATGACTGACAGGTGAAATCCAAAAAAGTAAAGAAAACTTATTCAAGTTTCTCTAAAAAAGAGCCCCATAAAAATTAATATATCAAAGTTTTTGTTAGTTGAATTCAGCCGTCATTCTAATAGCCAAATTTATATCGAAAATTCCCTGAAAGACGTTTTGTACTTTTTATTATTTTTTCCTGAAGAATCTGCAGACTGTAAAACTGGCGTTGTGCCATCGCGCAAATGTAAACAAAATGGAAACAGTTTTCAAAGAAAGAATGCTGATGTTTGACGGATAGCCTTATTTTATAAACTTTCTTTTTTAATAAGAAGCTGAATTTTGTATTTTGTAATGTACCGAATTTCTCAGTAAGATTTATTTAAGTCTCGGTCAATTTAGAATGCGTTACAAACTATACGTGACATGACCTTTCGCCCGATGTTGGCGATAAAATGGACTTTTAACTCTCGTTAACAACGTTTCTAATTTAGCACGTCCCAAACTTCGGTTTTTTTACATGTATAGTAAGGGTAATAATGAGTACAAAGAAGTATTTCATTTCCTCATAAACTGCCGCCTTTTTGAGAAAACGATTTTTGAAAAAGTGGTTCATCAAGCAAATAATATTTAAAAATTTTTCTATGTGCAAATTATTTTGCCTTTCAGACATTGATAAATGGTTGGAAGTGGCCGTTGATGACCTAGAATGATGGCAGGTCTATCGAAATAATAGTAGCCTGAAGTTGGAGGTATTTGCAGCGCGAGAAAAAATTTTACGCGTTGCCGAAGTCCAGCATCTAAATTACACGTATTTTCAGTTGCTGTGGGCTGTTTTTTAAGGGGGGGGGGGGGTGGTCTGATCTCGGAAACTAAATGCTGATGAAGTTTAAGAATACTGCCATTCATCCTGTCTCGATGAAGGTTGAAAACAGCCGAAAGATGAAAGGAATCGGTTGGCCTCGATCCGTGGCCTCTGCCCGGTTTTCTCAGACAATGGCACTTAACTGGTGTAAAATGCTGTTTGTTTGTAGAGACTGAAAGCGTGATGTCGCAAAGAAACTGGAAAAATGAGAAAAGAGGACCCTGAAGGCAATTGTGGAACTTATAAGTGAGTTTAAAAATATTTTTACATCTGGTGACCAACAGGTGATTTGTTATAAAGAGGTTTTCTTGCTAGATTCTGTATTAATTTTTTTATTGTTAATTTCCAGGAGAGAGATTACAACAAGGAGAAGATCTGGCTGCAGCAGTGAATGCTGCTGCTTCAGAACAAAACTTTGAAGCCGAGTGAAGATAATTGTAACTACTGATAATGAGAACAGAAACACTTCTGTCAATTTATCATGAGTAATGTTTGTGAGAGACAAACAGGCACACAGCCGAAGTGGAGTGCATCACATTGGAATTATTAAAAGCTCTAGACACAGACATTGACAGACATTGGTGAGCTGGAAGACACTGGTGGCTAAATTGTATTTATTGTGTAGCGATTCAAAATGCAGATGTTGTACAGTGAAACTTGAGTAGCAATATATTCATAGGGACTTCTTACAGGGGTTTAACAAAGCAGCTTGTTGGCTCGTGAACACTGTTCCAAGACTAGTCGCTTCCAAATTTGCTTAAGGAAACCCAGATGCCAGGATCTCACTCACAGGTTCATCTCTCCTGGCCAGTTCCCTTCAATTTATAGCCTTAATGACGATCTTTAATTTGCATGTGATGGGCTGAAAGTAGCACATGCACAAGCTGTTGTTGAATGATAAGCCAGAAGCAATGGACCATGTCTCTAAGTTGGATAAATCTCCTCGAAAGGCAAGAGTGACCCCTTTAACTGTCAAACATTCGTGTCTGCAATAACGTTGCCACAAAAATGTTTCAGGTTTAGTCAGACCTTGATGTAATATAAATTATGGTGGTAAGAGAACCGAGTGGAGTCCAATTCAGTCTGTAATCATAACCCTTACAATTTCCTCAAATGTGATTGGTTCATAAACTGCCTCATTTTGGACAGTGTAATCAGACACTTAAATAAGCCAATGGAATTGGTGACATTGAGTAACTCAATTGAATCCACCAATCACAGAATTGATCACCGTAACCATAGCAGTGACAGCTTGTAATGGTTATGTGCTTTATAATTGGCATTAAAAGCTCTTCAAGTTAAAATATTTGTATTTCCCCGAAATTGTAATGGTTATGATTGACTAACCAGAGGGCTCTGGGGACGAGAACGAAGAGATTGAGAAGGAATAGAAACAAGCATTCCAGCGGTTTCTCTCACGAGTCATGCGCAATGTTGTTGACAATCGTTGCTATGGTGATTTGCCCGCGAA